GCCCTCAACCCGGACAAGGGAAGGAGGGACGGAAGGGAGGAGAAACCACCCAACCAGAATTGAATTGTACAGGGTAGCGGCTGTTCGGCGCCCATAGGCCGCATTCTTTTCAGTAGCAGTGCTCCAGGGAGCCAGGAGTGACCCTGTTGCTTTACTCCTTGCTCCAGGGAAGACTTTGTTGTACTTTGTTGCTTCTGGGGCCTTTGGAGCGGGTCTCTTAGACGCTGTCGACGCATCAGATCATCGAATGGTTGACTGTTCTATTTGATATGGGAGCACACCTGCCGCAGCTTTTTCTTTTCGTGGGTAAACCTTCCTGGGTTGATGAACGGGCAGGTGGTCAGAGTCATGTTCATGATTGTATCAACCTGGGGTCTCTTCGTCGCCGTTATCGACATCGGATCATCGGACACTTGACAGATTCTATTTGTGGGGACACAGCTGTTAGTCGACCAAGTGTTTGCCATTGGAAACGATGGACAGTGTGCTGGGAGTGAAGGGAGTCAAGGGGGTTGAAGGGCCGAGAGCGTTGAGGGCTGAACACAATCTTGAGGAAGTAAAGATGTGTTGCTTGGGTTGGTTTCCAAGAGGCGTTGCAGTGAATCCCACTGTGTTGGCAAAACACAACCACAGTGTATCTGCCGCCTTAGCTCCCCACTACCTGAAATGAAAAGCATAGGGGTCACCGTCTACAACCATACAATCAGTGGTTTGAGTGGAGTTGCGTGGCTCATACCACAGCCATTGAAACCTCACTAGATGAGCAACACCAATTGCCAATCACCAATCTCTTGTTTGGAGGGGTTGGGGCAGCATGTTGGGAGTGGAGGGATTCGAGGGAGTCGAAGGGCTGAGAGCGTTGACGCGTTGACGGGGTGTTTTTTCCAAAGGTCTTACTTGGCGTAATTCGGGCACAACCAGCGTGTTGCGAGTGGGGAGTTGAAGGGCTGAGTACGTTGAGGGCTGGAGGTAATGTTGAGAATGTCAATATCTTGTTGTGTTCAGCTTGATAGTTAGATCAGGTTTGTCACACTTATATAGTCCTTCTCCATTGTTACAAAAAATAGAAGTGTCTATTCGGACTCTAAACCCCAGGGTGAGGTGTGGCCAGATGACCAGTGAGGTCCCTGCGTCCAAAATCGTTGGTAACCTTCCTGGGTTCATCAAGTGTGCAGGTTCATGACGAAGTACTGGTTGGGTATGTTTTGCGGGTGGTGATGTTGAAAGACCAAATGTTGCAATTGTGGGCCGTTGCGTGCCTGCTAGGTTGAAGTAGCCTTTCCAAGACGTCGTTTGCTTGAGCAAGAAGTCCCCATCCTCATGATGGTTGATTCACTCGGAAAAGTTGAACAGTCTGCTACAAGTAAGTAGTAGGTGCCCCAAGATATTAACTGTTTCTGAAAATATTGATACAGATCCGGATATTATTGTGCCCGGCCGTGCCTCGAAGGATGGCTGGACCAGTGAGTGGTGCATGGATGGAAAAGGATTCACGTGTTTGGACAGTCGCACTTGTGACCTGCTGAGCGCCGGGTGGGTGGGTGGGCACGTCGCCCTGGTAGGATGGAAGTGGAGGCTCGCCGAAGGACAATTTCAGTGCAAGCTTGGTCGTTGCGAAGAAGAACTTGCTGGGTTCCAAAATGCAGTCGTTCATCAAAACAGGTTTGCTCAAGAACCTAGGCTGCACATGCGTCACATGTGCTTCAAGCTCTTGCAGTTGATGCGTTTGTTCGTCAATTGGCAATTTACACATGAGCTGCGTAGGCTGCATGGGTTCCGAAAATGGCTTATTTTGTGTCATGTCTGGTGTTGTTGTATTGTGATTCATCAAATGATTATGTTCAGGACATGGTGGGCTCGAATGACAGCAGCTTCGAAGCAGGTGGTCACCATCAGCGATGTCATTGAGAAGTGCAGGGCGCTCATGTCCAATTTTCCGACAACGGAGATTGATGCTGCAAGGTCTGCCAGCACATCGTATGAGTTCGCCCAGATTTGTGGCAAGAAAGACATGTGTGAGAAGATTGCCTTGGCCAAGTACTTGGATCGAAAGACTGACGAGCAGAGTGTTTCCGATTCTCAAGCAGAGCCCAACACTCATGTGGACAAACTGAAGCGAGAGGTGGGCCTGGCAGGTGAGATGGTGGACACGTTTGCAGTGAAAACTGTCGAGACTGTCTCTGATATCTTTGCGAAGGGTGATCATCAGTGTGAATTTCATGCCAAGACCTTCATCGACAAGACATGGTTCCTGTCTCTGTGGAAACTTTTGAAAGAATTCCAGGCCCGTGGCAAGCCTGGCAAAAAGAGCAACAATTGCGTGTTTACATTGTTTACGACCCCGACTCGACTGTCTTCTCCGCCTTTTTTTGTTTGCGTTTTATACGTTGTGTTGAATTTACAGCTGTTTTTAAGACCTCAGACTCAGAGTTCATGTTATAACACGGAGGTGGATACTTGGAACCTGATCCTCGAGAATGTGGCCACGGTCGTCTCATCTGCTGTGTTTGACGCAGTCACTCTTTTGAGCAAGGTGAAAGAGTGTGAGGAGTCTCTGACAGTTCAGACCTTTGTGGAGGCCTGCCGGCTGATGAGCCAGTTGAAGGGTGACAGAGTCTGGATGCCTGTGAACGACTTCATTTCATCCAGCGCCCAACTTAGTTCCAACCAACGCAAACCGCTGAACATAAGAAACTTAGAGCCAATCAATTTCTTTGTATCAGCTCTCTGCTCAGGCAAGTCCACTGGCGCGCTCTTGCCAGAATCCTTCATCTTGCTTGTGGGGCGGCTGCAAAAGCTGCCACTTCTGTTGGATGACAAGCCGCCCATGTGGTCCAAGGCTTTGATCGTGAACGGCCAAAAAGATGCTCTTCTCAAACTAGAGACTTCTGTACGAGCCTTCCTGGGGCCACAAGTCGAACGGCAACTTAGAGCGATCAAGGTTGTGCAGGACTTTGAGTCTGAGGACGGCAAGACGCCTGCGTACTTTGCGGAGCCCTGGTCTGACAAGGGCATGGTCAACGCAGGAGTTTTGGCTTACTTGGACCTCTCCTCTTTGGCGTCGGTCACTGACATTTTGGAGCAGATCAAGAACTACAAGAAGGCAAGGGAGACTCTTTGTCAGAAGCTGACAAAAGAAGCGCATGAAATTGGATCCAAAGTCAACCAGAACAAGGCCATGTTTGTGTCCGTCTATGAGAAGATGCGAAAGATTGTTCAAGAGGTCAACGGTGAAAAGGGCTCTGAGTGGCTTTCTGCGCCGTCTGTGGTCACTGCAGTGGATGAGCTGAACAAAGATCAGGAAAGACTAGAGCATGTGTTGAAAGAAGGACACCGGTCCATGGGTGTCAAAAAATGGTGGAGTGAAAGGGGTTGTGTTTAAAAGCGTGGCGCCCAGCTAGCTTTTGCAGAATCCTCAGAACCCTGTTGAGGACTCCCAGCACTTCAGGGTGCCGAAGCTCTTGGAAATGCTTTCCTTGGTTGGAAGGATGACCTTTCCAAAGATGCTGACATTATCAAGGACAACAAGTTCTCTCTGCTGGAGTCATCGATGGCGCAGGAGCCATCTGCAGCACGGGTCGGAGTCGGGGTGTATACGGGCATGGCCGCTGAGCTGCTTCTTCGCAAGGGTTGTCCACCTGCAACGATGCTGGCTGATCTCAAGTTGTTGGGACAGTTCATGCAAAACGTCCTCAAGGTCCAGAAGAAAAGCATCCATCCACTGGTCATTGCTGCCCTGGAAAAGCTGGGCAAGGACACAGGGTTCAGGGTAGAACGGGTGGAGAAGTGTAGAACAGTAGAGCCAGTAGAGCAGTATGCGACGGTGTGCGGTTTATAGCATTCATTCATATGATATGCTTTTTGGTAGAACTAGAACCTAAAACTGTACAACGAAGCTGTGCACTTCACATAGAGTTTCATGTGGGCGTCGGGTTTTACTCAGCTGGGCAGGGAAACTGTCCTGTTCCTCGTGGCTTCAGAGGGGAAGGGGTGAAGAAGCGAACGGGGCACAGTGATCCAAATCCCTTTTTGCAGCCTCCTGATGTTGGACAGCTCACTTTGTTTGACCTTAAAGCCTTTGTCTTTCGGAAGCGTGTGCGTCGTCCTGGCTCTTGCCGCAACCGGGAAGAAGTGAAGCTGGAGAAGCCAAAACGACAGCTCACTTTGTTTGACATTAAAGCCTTTGTCTTTCGGAAGCGTGCGTGTTGTCCTGGCGGTCGCCGCAGCAACCGGCGGGTGGTGAAGAAGCAAAAACGACAGCTGACTCTGTTTGACCTTAAAAGCTTCTTGGGCTTGGGTGAGAAGGAGCTGGGTTCGAAATTTTAAAGGGAAATGAAGCTATACAAACAGTCCTGTTGGCGTGTCACATACTAACGCGTCGTGCATACAGGAGTGCAAAGATGCAAAGGCCTCCAACACTGCCGACAGCAAGGGTGGCAAGTGACGCCAGATTCTGGATGTGGTGTGAGGTGTGTGTAAGGCTGCCGACCAAGCATGTCAACATTGCATGCTACCACACACGTATTCAGAATTTGAGAAAACTAGTGCCTCGATATGCCAGCTTTTGAGATGGTGCGCAGTTTCTGCCCTTTTGCCGTGGCAGGAAGAACCGCGCTCTTAAGTTGGGTATAGTTGGTATCTCAATCCTTTTAGGTCCCCAGCGCTCGGAGTTGCCGCCTACTAATTGCCTGTATTCTTGTTTGCGAGCCCACATATCACAGGCGAGAACTTCAGTGCTGCTGTTGTTTCCCTGCCATGTTCATGAAACTCGAATTGGTGATTCCGGCTGGCACTTAGTTCCTGTGCATTGCGCATAAACCCAGGCCTGGGACAGCAATCCCAGGTCTCTCAGACAAGATCAGAAAAAGCGCTTATGGCTGCCTCCCAGTACCTGCCGCTGCTAAGTAATTGGTCGACGTGTTCATTCAGGTCACCAGATGTGCAGTGGTGGCGGTGGTGATGAGCGATGTGTGATTTCTCGTCTCTTTAGTGTTGCTGAGGACCAAAGTGATGTTGTTGGAGGTAAAACGCGCGAATCCTTTGACAAGGCCAAGGCAGATCTTGGGATGGACACTTCAAGCTACGAAGAATACAGAGCGAAGCTTGGCAAAACTGCAAGAGGGTTTCCACCGTTAGAAACTATCACTAGCGCTACTGTCACTACCACTACCACTACCACTGCGGCTACTCAAACTAGGTACCGCCGCTAATAGTGACCCTGTGCGATTCGCACATTGCCAAAGTGGACAGTGCTCAAAACCTCCCATGGTTTTTTAATTTTTCCATTTGGGAGAGTTTGGATCATATGTGCTTTCATCCCATCTTTCACAAGGGTCAGCACTTGTAAGGTGGAATTTAGATTGGGGAAGAGCAGAAAGTGCACTCTTTCTTGGCGCACACGCGTTTTGCAGGTGTATTTTCTTTACACTTGCGGCCACGTTCGGGCCAACGCCTCAAGCAAATTTCCTCGGTTGTTCCACCGAAACTATGGTGCTGTCAGGTTGATGCTTCCTCGGTGATGTGGGGTGGGGTGGGGTGGGGCATGTTAACATTCGCTTGCACTTGCGTCACGAAGTTGATGCTTCGTGGTAGATGTGGGGTGGGGTGGGGTGGGGTGGGGCATGTTAACGTTCGCTTGCACTTGCGTCGCGAAGTTGATGCTTCGTGGTAGATGTGGGGTGGGGTGGGGTGGGGCATGTTAACGTTCGCTTGCACTTTCGTCACGAAGTTGATGCTTCGTGGTAGATGTGGGGTGGGGTGGGGTGGGGCATGTTAACGTTCGCTTGCGCTTGCATCACGAAGTTGATGCTTCGTGGTAGATGTGGGGTGGGGTGGGGTGGGGTGTGTGTGTGTTTTTTCGGGGTGGGGCATGTTAACGTTTGCTTGCACTTGCGTCACGAAGTTGATGCTTCGCGGTTGATGCGGGGTGACGCAAAACGCGTCGATCAATATGTCCGCAGTTTTCAAAAACGCGATTTCCTCTGGGGTCGCTAACAGCGGCGATAGCTTAAACTACTACTGTTACAACTACTATCACTACTGTGCATGATTGAGTGCAGGTTCACTTTGCTTTGCAAGCAGAGAGATTCAACTTGGCCGCGCGGTCTAAATGGAAGAGAAATTGAGCAACTGGATATCATCTACCATTTGTTGCCTGCACCATGATTGCAAAAAAACGCAGGAAGTTGGTCGTCGTTGAGTCGCTGTGATTGAATATTACTTTACTTTATAGTGCCTAATGGTGTTCCACTCTTGAGAACATTGTCGGCCGCGCCGTGCTAAGATTGCTGAGCGATCAAGAGTGGTCACGGATGTGGTGAAATCATTGGGGCGAAGAGCATGGCGGTCTGATGGTCTCAGCCCAACGTTCCTTTGAGTTGATGGAGCCATGGTTTTAAACGGGTGCTTAATCATATTCTGATTCAGTTCGCAAAATTCTCGTAGTGAATCTTGAGGCTCACCACGAACAGCAAAATATTCGATTTCAGGAATGAAAAGCTTTTGAATCCAGCAGAGATGATGGCCCTGCCATTGTCTTAGATGATGCCTCAAACTTTGAAGCACATGCTATGCATTCAAGGTCCCGATTGTGAATGTCGTGTCTTTGGTGCATGTTGTGAGGCAAGGCTTTGACGTTTCCCAGATTCACTTCTCCGGATACAAGCGTTCCTTTTTCAGCCTGCTCAGTGGCACCCTGGCGTTGCCGGATGTGCAGATGTTTCTTTCTTGTGTTCTTTCAATTCTTTCAATTCATTTTTCCCGCTGTGTCGAGTGGTGAGTGATTCAGGCAATGCGATGACCATGCCGGTGATTGGAGGATGCCTTCTTGCAGTCCTATTGACCACTGCACTTCGATCCGAGTTTCGTTCCTGTGTCACTGAAGAGCCGCAAAGCGGTCTTGCTCAGAGTGATGATGATGATCAAGACGATGCTACAGACGCATCGGGTTCTTCTTCGAACTTCCCACAACATTTGCGGGATGAGTGGCCAACTTTGGCACACTCTGGATCAGGGTATAGTTCTTCTGAGTTGGAATGGCTGTACAATGCACCTCCTGGGAGGGTACTTTGAAAGTCCTCTAAGTGCAACCAAGAAGACTTTCGTCCAGCCTAGCTTGGAAAAGTGGTTGGTCTTCTGCGTTTTGCTGGATGGATTTTGTTCAACTTCCGGCTTCTCTGGATTCTCAGTGAGCAGTTTTTCAAGCACACACCCACTTAACAATTTACCACATTTACCACAAGACCTGGGGTTGGTCTGCGTCTTTTGTGCCAAAAGATGCAGCAAAAGGTGTGATTTCTCTTTGTTTTCTTGATTTCCTCACTGCTCCGCCATTCTGCGCCATTTCTTTCTCCGCCTGAGGAACTTATTAAGTGTTTCCCAAATCTTGCACCACCATCGAGCCCACCACCTTGCACCACCATTATGCACCAAAAAAGCCCCACGTGTTAAGAGTTATGGGGCTCAAGCAATTTATATATATACTATATACAGTATATAGAGAGAGAGTCTACCGCAGTCTACCGAGTCGGGGGTGTGGCTGGATGGAGCTGTGATGCTCCAGACTTGATGTTCTCCACGGTATCACAAGTTTGACTTGTCTCAGGAAACTAGTTCAGCTTCTATGATCCTACCTCCAAGAAGTATGGAACCTCACCAGGACCCCCTTGTAGAGGAAATTCTTCTTTCAGGGGCCGAACCGTTCCACTTCGATATGTTTTGTCACGTGTACATGAATACAGAACAACTCAACCGCCAACGGCCGTGATCGAGCCGAGGATCTGCAGTGGGAGGACAAGTGCGTGGACAACGTCTACAACTACTCATGGTGCCATGGAAGCATTTGGGAGGCCATTGCTATCATTTGGTTGGAGGCCATCGCTATTAGGTTGGAGGCCATTGCCCATATAAAGCTTTGAGACTTGAGACTTGATGAAACAACACTCAAGCATACAGAGGCTTATATCCTCCCCAATCTAAAGTGCCCGTTGCCTTACTCTACTGAACAACCTCAATGTCAATGTACGGCAAATGGCAAATTAAAGGAGCATGCAAACAAAAGTAGCATGTGCACAAAGCATGGTTCGACTTGACTTCGGGGTTGCCCAGTCCAGTCACGAAAGGTAGCTTGAGCTACCTGAGTTCTCCTTGCTTTAGCAAAAATGTATTACAATCAGGAGTTGGGATTGTGCATTGAGTTTGGTCCTGTAAGAGTTGATTCTGTTCGTCGGGGGGGGGCCCCCCCTGGATCAAATCCCCCCTGCGCCGGTTCACGCCGTCATGGACTTCTACCAGGGTTGCTTGTGATTGCCTGCTACCTTTCGTTCACCCCCTCCTCTCTCAAGTTATCTTCCAACTTTTGAGTCAACCTTGCTTTTTCAGTTTCTGTATACTATATACTATATATATATATATATATCATTGTCTCAGGTGACAACCCAAAGACTCTCAGTATCAACACCACTTGGCGACCTTTGTTCATGCAAGTTTCAAAATGATGAACTGTCTGACTTTCCGTTGAAGCGTATGAATTGCCTCCCATCGAATCACACCACACAAGTCACCACAGACGTCACCACATCGCATTGGACATCAGAGCCATTGCACCTTCCCCCCTTGAACCGCAGAAAGACTTGGAGATTTCAGCATCACTTTGCTTTTGCCGGCACAAATTGTGGTTTTTGCCGGTTTCAGTAAACAAAATAACTGCGAGGTGCACGCCCAAGACCGATCCGTGCCCTATCAGCTGTGCCGCCGATGAGCAGGAGCTACCTGTGATTGGGAAGTGGGAAAAAGGGTCGTGACACACCCGACCAGCCCGACCAGTCCGGTCCACCATGTGCTCCGAGCGATGAAGAACATCAACAGTTCCGGTCAACCGACCAGTGGGTGGGACCAAGAGTTTTATGACCTTTGTGCTGTTCAATCCAGTGAAGGATTCTCAGGATGCTCGGCTGCCGGGCCCAGAGCGCCCAGAGCGCACGAAAGCACTGTTTTTTTTGTGTAGAAGTAGAATCGGTCCGTTTCTTTGAGAATCCTGGCAGGTTCTTAAAGCGATGTATCAAATCATCAGGGCCCCCTGTTAGGGGTGTCAAATTATAGTTCCTTAGAGTTAAGGAATGTCCATTAACCTCCCCAAACAGGGGCCCTAGTAGATATGGCCAGTTTCAGTCCTGGCACTCTGGCTTCTGCACCATTTGGTACCACTCGTCCTAGCTCCAACAACACGGCGGTCCGACCGGTCCGTACTGCGGCAGTTGTGCTACGGCACCGCGTACTACGACAACGGGGAGCCCAATTGGATGGTCTCCGGAAACCAGACGCTCGGCGAGCTGAGACGCGCTCGGATAGACGCGCCTTACAGCGCCCGGTGCGGTCCCAATGCGGACCCCGCGGTGGTGGGAGTTCGGGTGGTGGTAAAACGAATCCAAATCGGTCCCGACATAGTGGGATCCTTTGGGCAACATGTTGGTTGGGGCGGTGGGTTTTTGGGGATGGTTGATTGAAGAGCTCCAAGGTTGTTGAACATGAAAGAACATCAAGAGGAGCACCTGAACCAAGAGTTCACCTTGTCAGGTACAGGTGAGAACCCCCTTCCGCCCCAAAAGAACCTGTAGAAATGGTTCTTTTTCGTGTGACTGAGGGTTCACAAGTCTTCTTCAAGAAACACAAGATACCCCATGCCAAATGGGGTATGAAGAGGACTTGCTGGACTGGGCAGAACCGGGTTTTGAACGGACCAACACGGCCGAAGCACTTCTCTAATTGGCTGTGGGGTGTGAGTCTTCAATTTGAGTCTCCAATTGGCTGCAACAAAGTTAGAGACAATTGGCCGCACTTTATTACTGCGCCCGGTGTGTGGGTGCAGTTGCTGCATCTAATCACATCTGCCTGATGAGACCTTTTTGAAGGATCCATGATGATCCTTCGATGGATCTTTACTCCCCAGGATCCTTCATGGATGGCCCTTTGGAGCCGAGCGTCCTTGAGCATGTTCCGAAGACCAAATAACATGGTGGTGAGCTCCACTCCACTAACCCAGTAACGACATGTCACATCATCCAACAGCAAACCAGCTCCTTTTGCTCAGCGCAAGATGCATGTTCTTCAATCGGTGACTGAGACTAGCGCGGCCGCGGCGGCCGCGGCCGGCGCGTGAACATCTCAGGACATGGGTGAAGATGGGCGAGCCATGCCCCTGCAACACACAGCACGAGGCGCCGAGCGGTGCTCGAGCGGTGCTGGGGCTAAGGGGTAAAGACATGGGGCGGAACCACCAGGTCCCAAATCGTTTGAGACGGCCATCGACCTGCAACTGCTGGAACAACTGCATAAAGTGCTGGACAAACCGGGGTCATCCTGCGTCCCTTGACTGCCCTGTGGCATGCAGCTCTTTTTTCATGTCAACATGTGTCAACAGGCTTCAAGAAGTTCAAGGTCTCGAAATGTTCGGGAAAGAAAGGACGCACGGTCAGTTTAGTGAGGAAGAAAGGCGAAGGCAGGTCTAGAGCGAATCGCAGCAGGTTTGTGAGCACTATAACAATATTATATATATATATAGAGAGAGAGTTGTGGGCATTAATCTATCTATATATATGATTGGTTGCCCGCTTTTTGGACATGCACTTTAAACTTTACACGTTTACCAGTCTGCAGATATTTGCTCAGTCTTTTGGGTTATGCATCATCAAAAATCACAGGGAGGATTTGGATCTGTTGAGAATGGGAGATAGTTTGAGAACTGCGGACATTACTCAACTACACAAGGGATTACAAGGGGTTGTAAGCACCCTGAGGTTTTGATCCCTTTCCACTCCATTTTGGGGGACTTGATGCCGTGCTTGAGACGAGGAGCCATTGGTGTTTGATGAGGATTCATTAACTGCCAGGCTATATGCGGAACTGATGCCCCTGGGAGGGTGATTTGCATCTGATTGAGCACTTATAAGGCCTTTTTAATTCGGCTTCTAGACACCCAAGTGATGGGGCTGGGGATCCTCAAGTTGACAAAAGCTCCCCACCTCCACTCCAGTCTTTTCAGATGTTTTTCCTTGTCTTCGTCATTTCTTCATCGTTTCATGGCTCTGTACCAGATCGCGCCAGGTTCTGTGCAACACGACTTGGGGAACCTACTGTCAAGCAACCTACTATGGTCAATGCCCCATTTCTTGCGCGGCTGATGAGAACCTTGGAGAAGTTACTGTCACCTTTTCACCCAAAATGTAACCCAAAGCCAAGTAGTTTGTTGCTGCTTGCTTTTGCACCATTTGTGGCAAATAACTGCAATCTGCTTTTTCACGAGACTGAAGAAACCTGGATGAAGTGAGTAAATGGATGTTTGATTTGGGATGGTGCTTTTGTTCCTGTCCTTTCACGGTGGACCCAGACCCAATTCGTTGGGTGACGACACCACACGTAATCCACACGTAGGCGGACGCTGAAACGTGGACTATCCAGGATAGTGCTGGTTTCTTTGGGAGCTGCGGGAGCTCATCGCTGTCATTTGAGCATGTTCATGTCATACGTCATAGATGCCCTACTATTGGTTGGTTGATTCATAGAGAGAGGGGGGATGGGCCCCAGAAGATCCCCCCGTTATCCGTACCACCAAGAGGGATCAACAAGCTACACATAGCACGAGCCCCAAACATTCCAACCTGAGCCGAGCCCCAAACGGTAAACCTCCCAGTCAAGGATATCATGGATTCAGGTCGGGGTCGCAGTCATTTGGCCTTTCAAATCCTGGGATTTTTGGGGGGAGAGCTCGCGGTCCTTGTCGTTTGTCGCTCGGTCCTTGTTTGATCGGCAGGAGGTCGATCACAGGTCTGATGGAAGTATATAGACGCTATGGTTTGATGGAGTCCAAAAAGGTATGCTTATGGAGCGAAGTTCGGGACCTGGGACGTCCTGTCGCCGCTTTGTCCAACTGGTGGTAATGCCGTGATGCTGAGGGATTATGAGAGGTTTTGGCGACGTGTTCTTTTCAAACTGAGGATGGCTAGTAACTTAGTACACCCGTCCAGGCCAAACAACAACTCCAAAACGACTGGTTTGCTTTCGGAGGTACATATATTTGCTGTTGTCGTCCACCTTCTGCATGATGTGACTGCAGATCTCACGAAGTCCATCCACCTTACACTCCCTGAAGTCATCATGCGTATAGTGGATGGCATGGCCCCAAGTTGGGATCACCATTTTCTGAATACCATTACCAAACAGGCGGTGAACTCCACTTCCATGTCCATGACTCCGAGAGTAACATCCAGGAAAATAAAGAGTCCAGTAGCATAGCCTGAACGCCAGAGAATCGCTCTCGAGCACCT